AAAGGTTGAGGAGAACAAGAAGACTGAGGAGGCAGAGAGCTCAGAGATGAAAGCTTCAACACGCAAGGAAAAGGAGAGCTCTAGCAACAAGAAAAGCGAGGAGAAGGCTTCAAAGGTTGAGGACAAGAAGACTGAGGAGGAGAAGAAGCCTTCAAAGGGCAAAGAAAAGGAAGGGTCAGGCAAGAAGAAAAACGAGGAGAAGGCTTCAAAAGTTGAGAACAAGAAGACTGAGGAGGCAGAGAGCTCAGAGAAGAAGGCTTCAAGGAGCAAGGAAAAGGAAAGCTCGAGCAACAAGAAAAGCGAGGAGAAGGCTTCCAAGGTTAAGGACAAGAAGAAGGCTGAGGAGGCAAAGAGCTCAGAAAAGGAATGCTCGGGCAAGAAGAAAAGCAAGGAGAAGGCTTCAACGGTTGAGGAGACAAAGGGAGGAAATGAAGAAGAAGGGAAGAGCAAAGAGTCTGAGAAGAAGAGGAAAGCTAGAGAAACAAATGAAGCTGATCTACCCGAGATGGAGACCTCACAAAAGAAGACTTCAAAGAAGGAGAAAAAGAAACAAGGTCACAAGCGGAGGTCCTCTCCTGATGCTTCGGCGGAGGCGAAGCGTGCAAAGGTTCCCTCTGACCTGCCTGCTGGTGATTTGCCAGCTGGAGCGACAGCTTCGAAGAAAGCCACCACCTCCAGCATGGATGGGTCGGATCTGTCAGAGGTGGGGTTTTGGTGTTGTTTCCACAAACAGCTATCCTTTTGCCCGAGGTGTGTTTTTTGGTGCTTCTTCCACAAAATACAAAACATCGATCCACACCGGAAAAAAACACCCTGATAGGTGGAACGTGCAGCCACACCCAAGAAGATTGAGCAGGTGAAGACTATGCCCAGCATTGACCTGATGGCCGCTCTTGCTGATCTAGACACCCCTGCACCAGGAACTACACCTTCAACAGTGAAGGTTTGGTTTGATCGAAATTTACGATATCGATCGACCTATAAATTATATAATCCAAGATCGAGGTCAAGACGACTATAATAGAGGATTATAATAGTTTGTGTTCCCTCGACCTCTCTTTTGGTTGGTTGGAAGCCCATTTGTGCCAAATTAAAGCTAATTCTCTGATCCGGAGGCCACGCCGGAGTCTGGGACTTCAACTACAGCTTCTAGCAAAGTGAATGCCGGCAAGACTGCCAGAAAGATAGCTTTCACGGACGAAGAGAAACAAAAGATCACCAGCATGGCAAGTCCTTCGGAAATGGAACGGTCCGAGAGAAAACGCCAGTACTCAGCATTGAGACGGGCAATCCACCGTGCAGCAAATCCCGCTCTCACTGCCAAATTTTCTTTGTGCAATGACACCGAGCGCTTTGCAATGCTGAAACAATGGGTGGTAAACCCAGACACCTCCTCAATTGAGATTGAGGAACGCTACGTTTCATGGGTGGAGGAGCTCAGGACAGATCGCTATGTTTCAGTATCTTGGCCATCAATTGATGCCTCGATCTTTTATATTTGTTTTGTATAAAACCGATATATTTAAAGGGTGCTATATTGGCTGTTTTGACAATCAAGGTCTCAATCTTCCAACTCGAGAAGATCTATGGGAAGAGTACTGAGGCGAAGAAATTCATCGCGGAGCTGTGCAAGGGACACTTGGATTTCATCGGCATGTTTTCTTTGGAAGGGATCAACTTCTCACCTTGCCAATCCACCCTTGTTCAATCCCGTCAATCCCTGTGCAAATCAGGACAGGAGGGCACTCCCCATCCCCAAGCGCCAGAATCCAAGAAGGGACGCATCTACAAGGTCCTCAAGGAGGTGATCCATGAGCAGAAGCAAGGCAGTACAGGGTCCAGCTCAATGAGCTTGAGTGGGCGTGTCCGTGGGCAAGCAGCCAAGGAGATGCTGAGCAAACAGCTTGGCAAGGCTTTGGATGGCTTTGGTCAGGGAACTCTGGACCTGAAGACTGGCCGGATCAACCAAAAGAAAGTCAAGAAACCCAAGACACCAGAACAACTTGCACTTCAGGAATGCAAGGTTCTCCATGGAAAGCTACTCGAATTGACAACATAGTATGTTGGGTATGTCACTTGGTTTCCTGAACCTTTTGTGTTGACTTAGTGGACCAACATGATGGGGGAAGATTGTACCCAACATCACCCAACCAAGGTTGAAGAAGCTTGACAAAGATCTGCCGACTTTCTTCTTAATTCAGTTGACTTTTGTTTTTTACCCTTTGAGTCTTTGAGGTCCACATACTATAGAAAGCGCCATGCAAAGTTCTGGGGTTGTATAGCCTGCAGGACTCTGATCTCGGACATCCAGAAGTATGGTGTTCGCAATTCCGATGAATTGCTTTCGGCTTTGCGATTGCATGTAGCTGAAATCTGTGAACCTCTTGCAAGTGCAGCTGCAAAAGCTGGCACTCCGTTGACCGGTGTAGACCCCGATGATATGATGAATTTTGTAGAGGCTGAGAAGCCGTTTCTCGCAACCTGTGAAACAGATTGCCGTGATGCTCGCCGCAGGATTGCTGCAGCTAAGGGTCCGAAGAAAAAGACTGTACCTGCTGAAGAGCAGGATGACAAGTCGGATGAGGATGAGGATGATGCATCCGGCGAGGCCTAAATTGATAGTGATAGTGTTGCTATTGTAGTTCGAGCTCGACCTCATTACTGGGAGTTTCTATTTGGGGCCCGTCGGATTGCCCTCGTCGGAGTCACTCATGACTTTAGTTGCCAGCTGCGCCAATTCAACTGGCCATTCTGATTGGCCATGACCCTTTGCAAAAAATCCTTTAAGACCAAACAGCAATGTTTTGATGAAGGGGGGAAATAGAAGTCCTGCAAAAGCAAGGGTCCAATTTAGTGCAAGCATCACGGTTCACACCAGGACTGACATGTTTAAAGAATCTCAATTATATATATCTTAATCTCGATCGAGGTAGGATTTAATAAAGCTTTTCTCCTCAACACTGGTGTGCTGCGGTTTCAGTCCCTGGCTTTGAAAACAAGGCCAGCTGTGGGGATGCAAAGACTTAGAGCACAGCATCTATATCTTTTCTTTGGTGTTGGGTGAGGTGCTTTGCAATGTCTTTGCCATGTTTTGGGGATGACCCTCATCAATCGTGGCCGACAGAAGGAAAATTCGCCCATCTATTTCAAGCGCCTCTTCAGCTTCGCATGTTGAGGTTTTCTTCAGCTCCTGTGGCCGCATGACTGAATGACATTGCAGTAGTTCAACGACATGCCCACCGCCCACTTCCCACAAAAGACCCTAAGCAATTATATCAATCCCTCAAACTTGGGCTCCAGGTTTCACTGCGGGCACCCATGGATGTAGTTGAAGAGTTTCTAGAATTGGGAAGGGATGTTTCAGTCCCTACAACTGTCAAAATGCTTGGGGTTCTGGAGAAGAGCTTTCCTCGACGCTTGCTGCCGACACCTGTCAGCAATACTGATTTGTACTGCGAACCATGTGTGGGTGGATAACCTTTTTGGAGGGGTTGATCTAAGAATCTAAGGAAAAACTTGAAAGGTCTGTTGGACTTGGTGAAGAACACCAACAACGAGAAAAACATGTCCCGCTTGTTCTGGAGATGGTTGGACAAGCAGCCCTGGCGCAAAATGATGCCAGCCCCGTTTCAGAAGCTTGGAATTCCAAACCTGAATACATTATGAAATCGATAGAGATATCGTGATTGGTATTATATGTATATACTGTTTCCTTTCGATCAAATCCATCTACATCGAAGCGTGTGCCCAGGGTACCTGTCGTCCTTTGGGATCCTAGCCGGAGTGATCCACATCATATTTCCAATTGGCATCTCTATTTGCCAAGTGAAATGCACCTCGACATAAACACTTCAAGCAACAAAGATTATATGGAACTCTGGATCGACTTGTGTTAGTCATGCAGGTTTGCTTCAATTTATCACTACAGCTGGAAGCTATTTGAACAGCGCTTCTTGGGGGGAGCCAGGTGTGCCTCTCCTACTCTTGAGAGATCTTGAGAGAGGGCAATTTGTTTGTTAAAGCCTGACATTGCTTCAACTTGTTGACAGGGACCAGTTCTCAGGACTTAGATCGATACTGGGAACACCAGAAGCAGTTTGATTGGTTCTGGAAACATCCAATTTTGTCTGACCCTGACACTTGTTTGCGGTTGAATGCTCTCAATTTGTGCATTACATGTTTTGCTGCCGGTATACATGAATGATCATGCAAGGACACAAACCTCTCAAAGACTGTGCCAATTGTTCTCCATGGGGATGATGGTGAAAGCCATCGACGGCGGACTTTCTGTGTGTTGACTTGGTCATCCTACCTCACAACCCACGCGTCTTCATATGACTCCAAGCTGTTGATCTATTGCGCTGACAATTTCCACTCTTGCAAGGAGACATATATTGGATTGGATTCGTGGTTGGTGTTTTCCTTGACGGAGCTTGCTGCAGGTGTCTTTTTAGACTTTTCGCCAGTTGGCCCTCTAAATCGTCCACACAATGGTCAACCCATTGCCAATGGATGGAGGGCAGTTGTGGTTGCCCATAAGGCTGACGAGTCTTATATCAAGCGGGCTTATGGCCTGAACCGGTCATGGGTTTCAGACCTAGTGTGCTGGTACTGTCGTGCTTCCAAGAAGTCGGACAGCGAATACCTTTACACATGTCATGGGCCACATGCCAAGCACCGAGAGACGATGACAAGCACAAGTGAGTTCATCACGAACATGGCATCTCCAGACAATCCTTGGGTCCGCCTCCCTGGTTGGGACATCCAAGTACTGATGTCAGACTGGCTTCACCTGGTAGACCTCAGCCTTGCACCTGACGCATGTGCCAGCGTTACTTGTATAATAGCATAGCGTGTTTTCGGTTTCTCCAATATTATTTGTTTGTCTTCGTGACTGTCTGTCAGGCTTTGATTGAACTCACAGAGTCCGATATTGTGTGGCGAGGTCTGGTCCTTGCTCCCAAAGTTGTTTGTTTTTCTTGCGGGGGGTAGGGTTCTCCAGTCTTCCCAGGTGCGAACCAAGATGATCGCTTGAGAACTGCTTATGTTGAGTTTTGCCGCGAGTGCCGGAGACACAAGATCAGCTCCATCCTTAGATACTTTGAGCTGCAAAGAACTGCAATGTGTGTTTTCCGGTTGCCTGAAACTGGACATGTCCAGGAAACAGATGCCAAATTTTTTCCTTGTGACTTGGCAACTGTTCCAGTTCACTTGTTGGTGTGCTTTCTGTTTGCTTGTGCACCTTTTGTTGAGTGAGGCAACACCTTGGCGTCACCTCGCTTGGCAAGAGCGGAAAGAAGTACCCATCCCTGGCGCAAAAACACCTGAATGGAGCAGCGGGGTGCTTATTTCGCTTATTTGCAGTTGTGAGGTTCCATGTGGTGGCCAAAGTGGGTCTAAGGAGTCAGTGATTATGTGCAGATTTCTGAAGGGAATCTGCTTGGGTGTTGCTGCATTGGACCCCACAAATGAGCATGCCATGCAGCTTGGTTGGTTGCTTTGTGTGGCTGGTGTGTTACTCCCGTTCGGTCGGAGCTTCAAACTTATGTCCAGGTTGAGGGCCGCTGTTTTTACCAACTTGGTTGGCATGAGGGATGCTTTGAGTAAGTCTGGCCTCATCATTTCGCCTGAGAGCCTGCAACAGTTGAAATCCTGTTGCTACCTCTACCACTCGGCCTTGAATGGTGACTTGGTTGCGTTTTGGAACCGCTTGATTGCTGGATGTGCGTGTTTGGTGTCATGACTTTCAGAGTGTATGCCATAGGCCTGGCGCTCTCTGCGCTTGAGTTGGGCAAGTTGGCTTGGAAAATTCGGCCAAAGGGCCACAAGTGCTACTCTCAGGGAACTCGTCTGTGTGTGTGCGTGTTCTGTGCCTGTTGGTCCATTGGAAATTGGACTTAGGTTGGACCATTTGGTCTTTGACCAAGCTGCAAGACACAACCCACTTCTCCTGAGCACCTATGGAGAAGAAGATTTTGTGCCTTGTTGGACATGGACACTGGAACTGGTGAACCTTACATCAGTCACACGTTTTGCAATGAGCTAAGGTAGGGCGTGTGAAGCGATTTGCCATGCTGTCCCATCCCCGTCAGATGGGGAAGCAAGTGTTGCTGCGTTACAGTGCATACTGTTGCACGAGGTGGATGAGGAACCTCTAATTCAAAAGATGGATTTCCATCTCCAAATTCACGGGAGGTTCATGCGGGCTAGCATGCAAGTAGTGTATACTGTTTGAAACACGCAACACAAAACCCGACTTGGTGAATCTCCCACCCAAGCTCTCCTCGCTTGAAGAATGCTCATCGATGAAGCCGTTGAAGTCGATGAAGAAAGGTGCGGCGGGGAAAGGATGGAAATTGACAGATTGGGTTTGATATGGCTTGATTCGATGACATGAGGGGAACCATATCCAATCTGCCATTTTCAATCCTTCGGTTGGGATCTGCTTTGGAAAGGGGAGGTGGATAGAGGTCGCATTTTGTAAGTGACCTCTTCAGGGTCTAAGTGACCTCTTCAAACACCCTTAAAGGTCTTCAAAGTGACCTCTTCAAAAACATGTTGATAGCATATGCGTGTCTTTCAAGAAAGTTTGAAGCGTGCACAGGGAGGCTCCTGGTAAATATTTCATAAATATCTAAATCCAAATTCGTGAAAATTTAAAAATTTCTTTAAATGATATAATTTCAAAAATTGTCCGCCGACCCCGCCGTTGCAAGGGGGAGCGCGCCAGGGATTACGGGTAGCTGTTTGGGGGCTCATGGTAGCTGTTTGGGGGCTCATGGGGGTAGCTAAGTTTGAAGAATCGAGGTTTTTTTGAGGTCAGAACTGGCGCCGTTTGCTAAGCTTCAAACCTTTCCCGGGACCCCTGGCGACATTTTGGTTCCGGAAGCGAGACAAATGGAAACAAACTTCTTGTTTTCTAGGGATTCAGAGGCAGCGTTTGGCAGCGAAAGTGCAACCAGGGGAGGCTCGACCAGAACTAGGCCAGGATGCGCGCGCAGCGTTTGGCACCGAAAGTGCGACCAGGAGAGGCTCGTTTTGGACCAGAATTAGATGGAGAAAAGCCGTGGCGGCGCCAGGTGTTCGGGGCCAGGATGGGCGCAAGACAGGGAAGAAAAATCTTTTTTTATAGGGATTCAGAGGGGGCGTTTGGCATCGAAAGTGCGACCACGAAACGCTCGTTTTGGACAAGAATTAGATGGGGAAACGTCGTGGCGGCGGCAGGTGTTCGGGGCCAGGATGGGCGCAAGAAAGGAAAGCAAAGTCTTTTTTTATAGGGATTTAGAGGGGGCGTTTGGCATCGAAAGTACGACCATGAGAGGCTCGTTTTGGACCAGAATTAGATGGGGAAAAGCCGTGGCGGCGCCAGGTGTTCGGGGCCAGGATGTGCGCAAGAAAAGAAAGAAAAATCTTTTTTTATAGGGATTCAGAGGGGGCGTTTGGCATCGAAAGTGCGACCATGAGAGGCTCGTTTTGGACAAGAATTAGATGGGGAAACGTCGTGGCGGCGGCAGGTGTTCGGGGCCAGGATAGGCGCAAGAAAGGAAAGCAAAATCTTTTTTTAATAGGGATTCAGAGGGAGTGTTTGGCATCGAAAGTGCCACCAGGGGAGGCTGTGCGAGATTATGGGCGGAATTGCGCAGATTGTGGGCTCGGGGCTCTGGCGCGCCAAATCCTTTTTTTTCTAGTGGCCCGAAACTGCCCTTCAAACGCCGCAAACCCCTCAAGCCCCTCAAACCCCTCAAACCCCTCGAACCCCTCGAACCCCTCAAACCCCTCAACCCCTCAAACCCCTCGAACCTGGCCAATGGTTCTGCCATACTGGTCGCTTCAAACCCCTCAAGCCCCCTCGAACCTTGCCAATGGTTCTGCCAAACTGGCCGTTGGAGACGCTCCAAAACCTCGCACTTGCTAGACTGTGGGCCCTGGGCTCTGTGCGCTAGCCGTTGGAGACGCTCCAAAACCTCGCACTTGCTAGACTGTGGGCTC